AAAACATCTCATTGAGAATCATATAATAAAATCAAACTCATCATTCATAGTAAACCTTAACAATACAAAAACATAATTCAAATAACAGCAAAAATAACACCCCAACAAAAGCTTCTCAATACCCCTTTGCCCAATATTCTCTGAGACATTTTGGCACATGAGGCAAACAACAAAATGCCTCTGCTCACCCTGCTAGAGAAGAAGTGGGGAGTGAAGGTCTACATCAGGAGCAAGAGGGGAAAGAAAGATCTGCTGCCCCTGTGGATCCTGTCGCCTGAGGCAGTTGCCTCACCTTGTCTCATGGGTGGGCCGGCCCTGCATCCTGAGCAGCATCTCTCCCCCCCCCTTCTCACTGAAACCCCAGAGCAACCTTTGCCAACCAGACTACCCTAGAGAGCCCATGTGAATCCCTATAGAACAATTCACCTCAATATGGGTTTGGGAAAATTTGAATGCTTACAATAGTTGTTTTAATGGTTTTTATTGGTAATTTCATTGTTTGTTTTTCTTGTTATAAAGTGCTTTGAGGGTTAGGGTTTTTTGTTTTTTTTAACAGTCAAGTGGTATATAAATTTTATGAAATAAAATAAATAATATTTCACTAGTCTCATGTTCAAGCCATTTCTAATCCTTTGCTGCTAACACAAATAATCTCAAATTTGCTTGTTTGCTCCTTAAATTATGTTGACCAAAACAGATGCGATAGTCCAGCTAAGCCCTAAATGGTGCTCCTTGTAGCTTACATATGATATTCCACAGCAGCTCCTAAGCCAAGATAACTGTCGCTCATTTTGTTTTTATTTCTCATATGTAATGGTTTGAATGTGCTCAATTTAATTTTATTGCTTCCAGCCTGGTACTCAAATAAAGCAAAATCATTTTAGATTTAAAATCACATCCTCTGCAGTCGTTGCAACTAGCAACATTTATATGTTTTAATTATCTGAAAGATCAGATGAGTTTCCTTCACTCAAGTCATTATGAAATGGTGCCCATTCTAGTGGAATGCTGCCTGTTACCTCCTCTCAGCAAGTTGCAGAGATTATTGATCTATTGGTTCCAAGGAAAGAGATGAGGAAAGAGATTTGTTTTGCTGGACAAACTTCTTTTGGTGTATGTGTGTGAAAGTTGGTCCAATAAAAGGTATCAGGTTACCCGTTCTGTGTCTCTGCAGTTTGACACTGAGCCCTGATGCATTCACTTTATGGATGTGCCTTCTATTCTGCCTTGCTGCTGCTGCTGCTGCTGCTAATAATAATAATAATAATAATAATAATAGGAACAAATGATTGCCACTAGTAAAACTTTAAATAGTTTGTTATTATTTCATAGCACATATATGTCACATCATTTTTCAAAGTGAAAACAACAGTTTCAAAGATGGCTAAATGCTTCTTCACACAGTGCTTAATTTGTCCTGAGGAACTCAGGCCCACATGGCATTGTGATGGCTTTTAAGTAGATTTGGTAAACAAATTGAAGATAGGTTTATGAAAGGTATTCAGAGATAGTATGCCTCTGAATACCAGGGAGCAGAGACTAATAGCAGGGAAGGGGTCCAATTTGAGAACCTTGCCTTGCTTGAGAGCCGGCCTGTCATCTCTGTGTAGTCCCTGTCAATAGACAACAGGGTTAACTAGGCCACTGGTCTGACTACGTATGGCCATTTTCATGAGTTTAAGAATGACCCTTGGTGAGGGCAAAGAGTTTTCTCTTAAGCAGAAAAGCAGAAGCTCATGTGAAACAGAAATCTAGGCTGGATATTCTAGCTCCAGACATGGTTAGGAAATAGCAGCCTCTTTGTGTCCAGGGATAAGGGAGAATTTTAAGTGAACTGAGCCATTTGCACATGATGGACTGGAACATATTTGCATTTCACATTTTGCACTTCTCTGAATTTTGTGATATACAATTCCCATCTCAAATAATGGATCAAAATGCATTAAAAAGATACACAATTTAGCATAAAACACATTTGGAAATTCAAATATTGACATGAATTACACATTTGAATACCTGTTTTGTGGTAAAAATTAAATTAATAATAATAATAATAATAATAATAATAATAATTTTATTTATAGCCTGCCCTCCCCAGCCAAGACTGGGCTCGGGGCAGCTAATGTTAAACATGTACTGAAACCGGAATTTTTAAAAAACCGCACAGGTTTAATACCAACAACAATCCACTACCCAGAATGGCAGAGCAGATAAAATATTAACAATAAGAGCACTTATTGCCTTTAAGACTGTTGGATAGGAGTGGGGATTCTGTGGCCTTTGGGATGCTGCTGGACTCAAACTCCCATCAGCCTCAGCCAGTGGGGATTATGGGAATTGTAGTCCTGCAACATCTGGAGAGCCAAAGGTTCCCCATCCTTGCTGTGCAGAATATTTCCTTCCTTCTGCCATAATCCTGTCTTTTTAAAGCCTTGGTATACAGCTACATCTTAAGTTAGAACAAACAAAGGCAGAGTCAGCAACAACTGTACCTCAGTGCGTGACATAAACAGGGCATCAGCACAGAGAAGGCCCCTTCCCTCACCACAGTATAAAGATCTTAAACACGGGAAGTCTAGTTCTGGGAGGGGCGCTCCTTTCGCTACCCAGGTCCCGAGTCATTCAGGGCTTTATAAGTCATCACTAACACCTTGAATTTGGCCTAGAAGCGTATAGGTAACCAGTACAAGTATTCCAGAATGATTCCAGAATGCTCTGTCCCATGAGACTAGGGCCCTTCAGGATTTAACCTCCTTCCTCCAGGCCTGTAAGACAGAGCTATTCCGCCTGGCCTTTAATTTGAATTCAGCCTGATCTTTTATTTCCCTTCTCTTCTCTCCCCCTCCCCTTTTATGAAGATCACCCGCTCTGAGACCCCACAGCTAATTCTCCCCTGGCCTCCTCGCTGGCCCAAGTAGGACTAATTCAGCCAGCTAGCCCTAGTGATTATCTAATGCTTATTAGATGGATTTCCCCTAAATTAATTTCTGAATTTTATTGTTATTCATGTTTTATACTGTATTTTATGGTGATTTTACAATTAAGTGTTTTAAATTTGTTGTTAGCCGCCCTGAGCCTGGTTTTTGAACCAGGAAGGGCAGGGTATAAATATTTTTTATTATTATTATTATTATTATTATTATTATTATTATTATTATTATTATTATTATATTACTACTGCACCTGTTGAAGTTTCAAGGCCATTTTCAAGGGCAGCCCCACAAAGAGCAAGTAATGTGGGGGCAGGTGTGTGCATAAATTGCCAGAGCATGAGTTAGCTCTGTATTCAAGTTACACATGTCCAGGAATTCAGGATTTCCTGGTACTAGTGCAGCAGCAAAAATTTAGTTGTTTGTAAATGGATGCTAAACATTCAGAATTATTCAGGTGTGGCTGTTTTCAAGAGGATGCTTTGTGAATATTATATGATGGGACTGAATCCAGAAGCAGCTGGGCACTCAACGAACAGAAGTGAGAGAGCATCTCTATATACTGTACCTTTAGGGGGCACTTTAGGATTTAATGTTTGTCCTTGTAACAGATTCAGGCATGAGCTGCAGGCCTTAAAAGTCCACATTCCCTGTATCCCTCATTGCTCCCAGCTGCCTACTGCACATTCTTTATTTAGCTCAGCCTTGTAAATAGGTTTGCAAAAAGTTACTAGTCCATTCATACCTTCAGTTGATACTGATTTATTTTATTTTAGGCACTTATGGCCCAGCCTTCATTAGGGACTGAAAGATAGCCACAAAAGTGGGGAAGCTCTCCTCAATTCTCTTCCTAGTTACATAATTTTCCCTACTTTAGGAACAGGGAACATGGAATACTAGTGTTGTTTATTCATTCACCACATTTTTATCTGTTCCTCCAAGGAGTTCAGGGCAGCTGGATCGTGATTTTCTCCATTTTATTCCCTACTGTTTGGCAGATTTCAGCAGCTGCCTTAGGCAGCAGAGTCTGGGTGCCATGAAAAACTAGCCAATGTTACTTTTTCATTTATTGCTCTATCTTTACTCCCATGGAATGAATGGCGCTTATGGGACTTTCTGCCATGAGTGCCAAAATAACTTGGCCAGTCTAGGATCCTATACACCTGGACTTGGGGAGTAGGTGCTGTTTGCTGTTCTGCCCCAGGTAGAAAAATGTGTTGGGCTGGCTCTGATGCTCTTAACAATCCTTCAGGGCAGGGTAGAAGGAGAGGATAGTGACTGATCCAAAGTCACTGAGTGAGATTCCTGGTTAAGATTTGGAAACAATTTCCCCCAGTACTAAATTCAGCACCCTGTTCTCTAAACCACCTTGGCAGGCTACCATCTGGAATATTGTTCCTCATCAGTTGTTTAGGATTTTAAAAAGTTGTCTTTGAAATCCATTATCAATGGTAGTTGAGCCCATATAAGATCAATAAAATATGCTAGAAATTGCTACATAGCTTTTGAGGTTGTAATGAAGGAAAAGACTGTTTCATTAGTATTTGTTTGCAGTATTAAAGATGTATTATTGAAAGAATTTCTTAGGTATTATTACAGAAATGTCCAGCTATTTAATCCCTTTACATCTATTGGTAGTATTTTGGGAGCTCAGCAGCTGAAATGTGTATCACCCACTCTCAGAAAAGAAATATGCACCTTATAATATAATTGGGTTCTTAAAAAACCTGAGCAATAACAAATAGAAAGCAATTAACAAAATGATGTAATGGTAAGGTAGATGACTTTATGCTAAATTCATTAAAAACTGATCACTGTGTATGCTTTTTGTTGGGATGGTAAATCTGTGGTCCTCCAGATGTTGTTGGACTCCAACTCCCATCATCCCTAGCCAGCGTGGCCAATGGTCAGGGATTTTGGGAATTGTAGTCCAGTGCAGGTCTAGAGGCTCCCAATTTAAGCATCTTTTGATACCTGGTTGAGTAGTTACTGAGCCTTGGCTCATTACTAGGGTATGAGGAGATCTGCATACATGCCAATGAGCAATTGCTGTTTTTCTATCTCTGGCAGAAACTGCAACACTAGGGGAGAAGCCTTGTATGGTTTCTTAGCAACGGCAGGATGCACTCCCACCCATTTGGGGCTGATCTGGAAGTGGTTAAGGAGCATGTCATCCAGTTACTAGGCAGCTGCAAAGGACTTTGTTTAAAGATTCGAATTCCCATTCAGTCAACTCCGCCAACCAGAAGCAAGAGAAGGGAGGAGATCCAAGTGCAAGCATGACCAGGGCTGTGTGTGCTAAAATAAGCAAAATTCTGCATCCAGGTAACCCCAGTTCTGTGCCAAGAAAAGCTGATGTCTGCAATCTGTGTAAATTAAGCACCTTTACATGGTTTCTTTTATTTTGTGTCATTGGTATATCTACTTCTGGAAGAGACGGGGAAGAGTGATAGCAACCTGTGTGGTGGGACAGCACTACAGAACAGCCATCCCATCACCAGCATCGGTGCAGCTTCACTGAATGGGGCTCTGGTGGAGCAGCATTGTGGTGAGGTCTGGGCTGTGCAAATGCACCGGCAGAGCCAAACCAGCACCCCTGTCAGTGCACCCACGCAGCTGCGACCTCACCACCACCCCGCCCCAGCCCTGCCCCTGTGAACTGCGACAATGCTGGTGGCAGGAGAGTTGCCCCTCCCCACCACACTGGCTGCTACTGGGAAGGAACAAAGAGGTATGCAAAGGAGACTGAAGCGCCACCCACTGACCACTAAAGAGCTCTATCAGCCGCTCCAATTGGTATCCAATAGCCAGCTCTGCACAGTTCCTCTCATTACGCAGAATACCAGTGTTCCTACAGCCCTGGCCATGGCTTTGGAATCTGTCCCCTGAATTAGGCCTCCTTCAGACACTCATACAGTCATGCAGGCAACCCATGTGACTGGCCTTGCCCAAGTGGTTAGAATCATAGAATCATAGAGTTGGAATAGACCACAAGGGCCATCGAGTCCAACCCCCTGCCAAGCAGGAAACACCATCAGAGCACTCCTGACATATGGTTGTCAAGCCTCTGCTTAAAGACCTCCAAAGAAGGAGACTCCACCACACTCCTTGGCAGCAAATTCCACTGTCAAACAGCTCTTACTGTCAGGAAGTTCTTCCTAATGTTTAGGTGGAATCTTCTTTCTTGTAGTTTGGATCCATTGCTCCATGTCCGCTTCTCTGGAGCAGCAGAAAACAACCTTTCTCCCTCCTCTATATGACATCCTTTTATATATTTGAACATGGCTATCATATCACCCCTTAACCTTCTCTTCTCCAGGCTAAACATGCCCAGCTCCCTTAGCCGTTCCTCATAACGCATCATTTCCAGGCCATTGACCATTTTGGTTGCCCTCCTCTGGACACGTTCCAGTTTGTCAGTGTCCTTCTTGAACTGTGGTGCCCAGAACTGGACACAGTACTCCAGGTGAGATCTGACCAAAGCAGAATACAGTGGCACTATTACTTCCCTTGATCTAGATGCTATACTCCTATTGATGCAGCCCAGAATTGCATTGGCTTTTTTAGCTGCCGCATCACACTGTTGGTTCATGTCAAGTTTGTGGTCAACCAAGACTCCTAGATCCTTTTCACATGTACTGCTCTCAAGCCAGGTGTCACCCATCTTGTATTTGTGCCTCTCATTTTTTTTTCACCCATCTTGTATTTGTGCCTCTCATTTTTTTTGGTTCCTGGAGTTTGCACACATAGCACACCTGTGGGGGGGGGCACACCTTAACAAATGAGCTCCCACATGCCTGGTTGAGTTTGTGAAGACAGCTCAGTTTCCACGAATTTTGGGGAAATAGGAAGAGATTAGGTTTACCCCAGCTTACGTATTGGATCGAAGTAATTGCTATATATTTTTGTGAATTTGAGTGTTTGGGCATACCATGTGGGGGTTTTCACTTCCCCCCACCTTGAACAGTGGTAATTCCCTCCTGTCCAATGTCACAAGCTGCTTTTGCAATTCCCTTCGGTTTTTAAACAGTTTGCTTTGTGGCATTCTGCTGATGGCAATGCTTGTTCAACAATCCCAAGCCCAAAGCCCTGTTGAGTGTGCATAACACAACACCCACTTACTTAACTCTTGGCTGATGATTGCAATTACAAGAGCAGAGATAAGGTTCATTCTAGTGGGGACGGGGGGGTGTCAGGTGGATGGGAACGTGTCTCTTCTGGGAAAACACACACACCTGAATCACTTGGCCCAAGACATTCAGCAACATGCTTCCCTCAAACACAATTCATTTTAGGAAGGATTGGTTTGTCTTATGATCTTCAGAGCATTTTATAATTTTGCATGGTTACAGTGCCATTGTTGACTCCTCATCTCCTACAAAAGGGAACGTCTTCATGCATCAGATCTTGCAGAACAGAAATTAACACATGCAGAGCATTCTAACAGATTATAGCTGAGTTCAGGGGGTTCTCCTTGCTAAAATGAGACAAGATTATGAAATGAGACAAGGTCATGAAAACAGGGCTAGGCAGTAATGGTAGAACCAGTGGAGATGCCAGGTTTATGAACAGTGACAGATGAGATACAGTTTATAGAGTCAGTTTATAGAGTCAGCAGATTCAGACTGTATCTTACAGAAGAGAAATAGCATGTTTGGTCCTATCTTGGGGCGGGGGTGGGAACTCCCTGCACATACAAAAACTGAAGTGATTAAAGTGTTTAAGACAAAGAAAGATAGATCTTTGCTGTAGATCTGGGTTCTCAAAACTTTTTCAAAGAGAACTTTCTTAAAGCAGAGGTTAACCAATGTATTAACAGGCAAGCAGTATATGTCCAAAACACCCCATATTTCAGAGGAATTTCAGGAGGAGATGAGCTGCGATTTCACTACTTGTCTGTGACATGTTACTATATTTACATAAGTAATAGTCACACAGAAGTTCCATTGTGGGAATACTAGTACAGTAATCATAAAAGATTGTCTAAATTCCTCCGCATCGGCACCAAGCACAGCTTTGGGCTGAGGAGCCTGCTTCAGGACCCTGGACAGCTCTCCATCCTTTCCAACAGCTTATTGCGCCATACTCATTCAGGATCTTGGAGGTGAAGTAAATAAAGTAAAATATATTAATAAATGCAGATTTATTTTATTTTGCTATCACATCCTGTGAGCAGCATTGGATTGGGAGGCCCCGGACAGTGTGCATCTTGTTCATAGCCTTAGACACTGGTGGGTACATTGATTGTTTGGTATCTCAAAGCTTTAATTTAGGAGTGTCAGTTACCCAGCTGTTAAAATATGCATTCATACATCCATTCAGCAAGCATTCATGCAGTATATTCCTTAATCAATATGTAACAATTAAAATTTAATATTGTGCTTAACTTCTTTAAGCATGGGGGGGGCGGACTGGAGACGTCCCCTTGTTACTCAGCCCCAGGCAGCACTTATGCAAACCTACAGACTCCCCATGAGGCTTGCTGTCTGAGCTGGGGACAAAGTCGTGTCCTGGACCCCAGCAGTTGTTCCCCATCCTGCTGTAAACACTATGTAAAGGAATCCTCCCTCAGAATCAGGAATAAGCCTGTAGTCCCCAACTGTTTATGGGGAAAGAACACTCTCTGGGACCAGTTTGGTTTACATTTGAGGTCTAATGAGGGCAAGTTCACACATTCAATGGATTTCCATTGAATTGAGTGATAATTTCATTGGAGCACATCACTTCAGCTACAGGTGCGTGTTCATGTTTATGCGTGCCCTCAAAAAACACTCTGCATGCAGAGAAATAGCGTATCAAGGAAAGAGTTTTGTAATATTTTTAGAAGTAATCGTATTATTTAATACTGTAAAGACCAACTTTTTCTGGCAGAAACCTTATAGGCTACAGTTTGTCAGATGCATGAAGTGAATGAAGTGAATCTCAAGTGAATGGGTTTATCATGAATGGAAAGAGAAGGAGAAAATGTTTGTGTGTGTGTTTTACCAGGCAGAGCAAGAGATAGCAGGCAAGTGTGTTACAGTCTCTGAAGGAGCATCTCCACCCGCATCGTTCTGCCCGAACACTGAGGTCCAGCACTGAGGGCCTTCTGGTGGTTCCCTCATTGCGAGAAGCAAAGCTACAGGGAACCAGGCAGAGGGCCTTCTCGGTAGTGGCGCCTTCCCTGTGGAACGCCCTCCCACCAGATGTCAAAGAGAACAACAACTACCAGACTTTTAGAAGACATCTGAAGGCAGCCCTGTTTAGGGAAGCTTTTAATGTTTGATGTATTATAGTATTTTAATATTTTTTTGGAAGCCGCCCAGAGTGGCTGGGGAAGTCCAGCCAGATAGGCGGTATAAATAAATTATTGTTATTATTATTATTATTATTATTATTATTATTATTATTATATCACAGAATTGACTCAAATGAATATAAGTTGTTATGAACATGGATGTGACCTACTGTCAACTACTGACCACTGGTGATGAATTGACCTAGCAAGATCAGCGCATGAGAGAGAGAGAAAGTATCTCAGGTGTATTACAGGAAATGGGAGAAAATATTAAAGATGGCCATTCCTTTTATAAAGTAGTAGCTTTTGTTTATTAAACTGTTATTTGTATATTTACTTATCACATTTTTATCCCACCTTTCCTCCAAGGTGCTCAAAGTGGCATGCATGGTCCCCTTCCTCCCCATTTTATTCTCACAACAATTCTGTGATGTACTTCAGGCTGAGAGACTGTGACTGGTCCAATGAGTTTCATGGTCATGGGGAGATTCGAACCCAGGACTCTACACCTTGGGATGTAGAGGGCCATACTGGAAACAAACAAACAAACAAACAAACAAACAAACAAACAAACAAGGGATTAATAAATGAAAGGGGCTGCAGGGGTGGGGGAGAGAAACATCCAGGTTATGTTTGTGCAGATGTATGTATGTGGCAAGGTTGTCTTTTTAATTTTCTGCTAACACCCATGTTGCCTTTCTGACAGGTTCTCTTTCTGCAGTGGGGAGACCTGTGGCGCCACACTCTGACAAGGACTTCTCCTCTGCCTCTTCCATGGCTTGGTCCCCTGGCTGGCCTCTATAACACTTTGTGGCCCCTCCATCTGGGGCTCTGTAGGATGAACAGAGGACACCACTGTGACTGAGCAGGTAAGCAGGGAAGCTGAGCAGGTTACTATGCAGGCCATGGGGGGATCAAAGTTATTTCCTGGAATTACTTCCTTTCCTTCCAATGAACGGCTTTTCCTGTTCCATCCCCACAGGTTTCTCCTTCTGTCTACCAGGCTGACCTAGCCCAAGGCAACTCTTCACCCCCTGCTCCCTTTCCCCACACCTTTGCCCAGCATAGCTCAGCTCAGCTGCAGCTTCACCTCCACCATGGGAGACATGGCCAACAGCTCCGTGGATTTCTACCCCAAAAGCCAACAGCGAGAGTTGAACCATGCGGGCGGCTTTGGCTGCACCCTGGCGGAGTTGCGCTCCCTCATGGAGCTGCGTGGTGCCGAGGCGATCCAGAAAGTCCAGGAGACCTACACCGATGTCCATGGGCTCTGCAGGAGGCTCAAGACCTCCCCCACTGAAGGTACCAGGCTTTGGGTAGGGCTGGGTGGGCAGAATAGACAGGCAGTCCCCACAGTCTCCCATGCTTAAGAACAGAAGGAGAGAGTCTGCTGGCTCAGGGAATCGAATCCAGGATCCTGTTCTCAGTGGCCAACCAGATTCGTGTGGGGATCTGGCAAGCTGGACCCAAGCACAAGAGCCCTCACCCTTTCTGTGGTTTCCAGGAACTGGTATTCAGAAGCATTACTGTTGTTGTTGTTGTTGTTGTTTAGTCATTTAGTCGTGTCCGACTCTTCATGACCCCCTGGACCAGAGCACGCCAGGCACTCCTGTCTTCCACTGCCTCCCGCACTTTAGTCAAACTGATGCTGGTAGCTTCGAGAACACTATCCAACCATCTCATCCTCTGTCGTCCCCTTCTCCTTGTGCCCTCCATCTTTCCCAATATCAGGGTCTTTTCCAGGGAGTCTTCTCTTCTCATGAGGGGGCCAAAGTATTGGAGCCTCAGCTTCAGGATCTGTCCTTCCAGTGAGCACTCAGGGCTGATTTCCTTCAGAATGGATAGGTTTGATCTTCTTGCAGTCCATGGGACTCTCAAGAGTCTCCTCCGGCACCATAATTCAAAAGCATCAATTCTTTGGTGATCAGCCTTCTTTATGGTCCAGCTCTCACTTCCATACATCACTACTGGGAAAACCATAGCTTTAACTATACGGACCTTTGTCGGCAAGGTGATGTCTCTGCTTCTTCTTTTTTACTACCTCTGACATTTATGACATGTGTTCACACAACCCTTACACACCAGTCCAAAGCCGCAGCTACAGTGAGAGCTTGAAAACTTCTAGCCCGATTTGGAATGTTTCAGCAGGCCACTTCCTTGAATTTTGGGCTTTGTAGTTTTGTTTTATTTATTGCTTTTAGCCCTTTTATTTAGGCTGCACACACCCCATGCCTTTAAAGTGCATGATTTCTCCCAATCCTGGGAACTGTAGTTTGTGAAGGGTGATGGGGGTTTGTAGGGATAAACTACAGTTATTGGACTACCCACATTTAGCTTTCTTTGCTTTGTGACTCATGCAGTTTAAACTTAAACCCCAGAACGCAAAGTGTCTGTTCTCTTACTTGTGAAGAAACCTGTATCTCACCACCTGAATTGCCCCCAATCTGTAGAGCTGGGGACACAACCTCAGAGCCTCCAGATTGTCCTGTTCTGTGAGAACAGGACCCAGGAGCACTGGCTCTTAAACTTGCCAATTTTTGAGGCTGCCAGCTTTTTAACATGCTCCTTCTTCTGACCCTTTAGTGGCAGCTCTGCGACAAACAAGCAAGTGGTGATATTTGCCTCCAGTGTCTTTTTAAAACTCCACTTGCTGCTTTCTCATTATCATACTTTCATTAGAGGAATGGAATGGTCCAGTCTGTCCCATCTCAACCTAATTTTACATGTTTTGAAATGTGTTAAATGTGCTTTTATTTTATTTTTGATCCTTTTGTGTTTGCCACTCTGGGCTCCTTTGGGTGGAAGAGAAGGATATAAATTTAGTTAGTTTATTAATAACAACGGTGTTGTTGTTGTTGTTGTTGATAATACTTTTATTATCACCAGCAAATCTTATTTTTATCCCAGAATTAATAGGGGCCAATGATCCTGGCTCCTAGAGCGCCATAGTCTAAAGGTGAGGAACGTTGGATGTTGTTGGAATGCAACTTCCTGTCCCCCTGGTATTTGCCCCTGCTGGCTGGGGATGGTGGGACTTGGAATCCCCAAAACAGGCAGGATTAAACTATGCTATGTGCATGGAATGAGGTTCACTTGCACCTTGGAGTGCAAAAAGCCTGCATGGCATGGGGGAAGTGGATTGAGAGAAGTTTTTTCTCCATCTCTCACAGTACTTGATCCGCGGGTCACCCAATGAAGCTGAACTATGAGAAATTTAGAGCAGGCAAAGAGGACTTCTGCACTATAGTTAAAACAACAAAATGTTCTGAGATGTGGAATGAAATTAGACAGATACTTGGAAGACAAGGCCCTCTATGGTTCTTTGCCATGATGGCTTTATATTACGGCAGGGGCAGTCTGCCTCATGAATACCAGCAGCAGGAAAAGGCTATTGGCCTCATGTGCCTGAGCTTCCCATAGACATGCAGTTGGCTCCTTTGGTCTGATCCCTCTTCTTATGATGCTGAGATGCAGCTACTTCTCAGTTGTGGAACAAGACCAGCTGTTTATTACAGTTTGTTTTAGTCTTAGACTGACAGGCATATCTTAATGGCAATTTCTAGGTTTAAGTATAGTGAATCACTTTGGCATGATTATTACTATTATTGTTATTGTTATTTATAATCTAACTGATGTTCATCTATTTAGTCAATTCTGCTGCTGCATTTGCAACTCAGAAGCAAAATTGGCTGATGGATTGCTGGAGGCATAAACGCTGAAAATTGATTCGTGTTTTGCAGACTTCCAATTCAGACTTTGGAAGTGTTGTTTCCTTCAGAGATAATAGGGTCAGGGACAAGGTAATGCTAAAAAGCAAGCATTAGTCGTCCTCTGCAAACGCTTGGAAATAAGTCCAGTTGAACGCAATCTGAGGTTTGGTCTATGGACACAAGGATGAGGTGAGGATGAATCAGCTGAGCCATGAAAACAACGCAGCATAGAAAGTTGTCTTACTCTGAGTCAGACTATTGGTCCACCTTGCTCAGTATCAACCAGTCCTACCTGGAGATGTCAGGGACTGAACCTGGGACCTTCTGCATGCTAAGCTAGGACCTGTCCCCAGGCAGCAGAATGGTCCATACCCCCTTAAGCTTTTGAGCAGACGGGACTTTCTTCCTAGTAAATGTGTTTAGGATGTGTTAAGGGAGTGAAGGCAAAGCAAAGCTTGTGCAGTTTCACTCCCAGTATAAATGGATAGAAGTGGAGCTGTGCCACCTTTAGCTTCCAGCCTCTGCTTCCCTTGACACAGCAAGGGAACTGGGCTAGTTGGCCATCAAAGGTTAATACAGACAGGCGCTAATAGCCAACTGGGTTTGATTTGGTAGTCCATGAAAAGAAAGTAGCTCACCCCTCCTGCGGGCAGCTTGACCCAAAGCTTGCTATCCTCCTTTGACAGTTGCATAAACCAGTGTTTTTGCCTAGGCCACGGTTCATCCAAGGGAGAAAGTGAGCTCTGCCTTTCCTTTTTGATCCTCTGTGCCATTCAGCATTGACATTTAAAAGCTCTGGTGTCAGAAATGGATCCCCTCCTGCTTCATCATCTGTTCAGTTCTGACTTCGTGGCAAGGGAAGAGAGAAGGCGCAGAGTATCTGCTGTGCATGCAGAAGGCCCCAGGGGAAACCCCTGCCAGAAACTCTTGAGAGCTGCTGCCAGCCAGTGTAGACAATACTGACTAGATGGACCAATGGCCTGACTCCATATAAAATGGAATTCTGTGTTCCTAAGACTTGACAGTAAGTTTATGGTGAGAAAGTGGAAAAGAAACTTCACTCACAGAGCTTGCTTCAGTAAAACCATGGCACTCAAAGAACTAGCCAGGGCTCCCTGAGGATAGTGCAGGCACTGATTCCTCCCTGATCCCATCTCATCCAGTTGTTTTGCAACAAGTTTTCAGACCCATATTCAAACTTCCCCTCTCCTTACCACTGTGACTTACACGGGCGACCATGTGGGTTGGTCAATGGGTGTGGTTCCAGAGGCAGAAGGGAAGATTTAGCTACCATTTCTGATCTGCAGAATTGGAGCTTAGGTTGCGAAGGCTCTTATACCTGAGGACCCCCACATTGCTTTCCCCTCCTACACCATCTTGGCATTGCAGTCTCTGCTGTGATTCCAAATACTGTCTCCCATATCTAAAGGAACTATACCTCCAGTTACCAAATGTTGGGGGGAAACAACAAAGAATTGCCCCTGACTCTCTTCTTCATTTGTGAGTTTTCCAGAGCAGTGTTCAAATTATTGGGGGGGGGGGAGAGACAGAAAGGGGAAACAGAGGCCAGTGCCCTACCTTTTCAGACAGCCACTTGGCTCCTGTCTGAGAAGATTAAGAAGCATGATTTGGCTAACAATGGGGGGAAATAATTCACAATTTCAATAAAAGCCCCCTTTCTCCCCACTACAACCCATTTGAACACTCTCCAAGATGCATCCAGTTGCTAGATAGAGCACTCGACTAGACGGACTCAACATAGGCAGCAGCTCTAACACTATTAGGACCTTTGGCATTTATGACTCATTCACTGGCTATTTCTGTCTGGGTTGAAGATTTTCATAAAACCCGGGTCACTGAAAGGTGGAAGAAGAGAATAGTCAGAGGAGACATGGCCCAGCTGCATTGTTAAAGCTAAGTGGGTGGGGTCGTGACTTAAATCACTCTGAGCAGATGTAAGTAAGATAGCAGGTGAGTGAATGGGTAGGTTAGTGCATGTCTGAATTAACAGCTATGTATGAATGCATGAGTGTAAGGGTGGGTGTGGATGTGTGTTATCATTATTATTTTAATTTATTACCCACCCTTCGTCCTGAGTTCCCAGAGGAGGTTAAAATTTAAAACACAACATCTAAAACAAATTGCAATCAGAAATAAAGAATGGGGAGTTAAAGGCCAGGGTGAAGAAGTGCGTCTTCAGCATGCATCCCAAACCGCATCTTGGTGGTGCAGGTGCAGCTCTTTAATGAGGGAGTTCCACAATTTAGGGGCTGCTGCAGAGAATACCCCCTCTTGGGCTGCCACCCCCTCCCTTAAAAGAAAAAGATAAAAAAGATCACGGGTCATTCCTCACATTACCTTTCTAATGTGGAAGCTGAGCCCACTAGGGTAATGCAAGATGCTGCAGGGCAAAGTTCTCAAAATGACACCAAATTTACAGGTATGCTGAAATGGAAATAGATTCTTTCTAGGTTTTCCAGGTGGCTACTTAGATCCACCCCCCACAAAAAACCTAGAAATTAGGTGGGTTTTTTGTGCCTCTGCTTTTTGTTGTTGCTGTTTAGTCATTTAGTTGTGTCTGACTCTTCGTGA